TTCAGTTTATCCACTTCAGGTTTCAGGGCTTTATACTGTATTCCCAAGTCTTGTTCATTGCCAGCATTCCTTAGTTTCAAGATTCCATCTTCCACCTATAAAACACAACCCAATATAAACAATTCTGCACCATAAAAGTATGCAGAAGATGGTGTCGTAGAAATGTTCTATTCCCTTTAATAGCTACTCAGAAAACAATCCAAACTTAAGTTCTTGAGTTGGTACAGGCCTATTATACACATGCTTTGAAGGAGTTGCAAAGAATACTACTGTATTGGCCTCCAACTAAAAGTATACAATTTAATGTATCTTTGCTCCTTAGGTCTAGGCTCTTCTAGTAACAAGAAAATGCACTGTCAGAACTCTACAAAGGGAAGGAGTCAAAACTTCCTTTCAAGTTCCTTTCAAGTTCTTCATCATAGCATAGTCCTTCCTCGAGTCCACTTTGAATAGAAAAGATAAGTGGAAATTAAAAATATCCCTTGTCCATTTAGATAAACTAAGTTCAAAACCAAATAAAAGCTTAAACATGGCCAGCACTGGCCCCACTGTGATACAAAGAACAAATTACAGGTATAGGCCTATACTTACAATTTTCAGCTGAACAAGTAATTTGTAGACATCTGCCATGTCAGCCAAAATCAGCAGCCGAGTAACAGCAGAGAGTAAAACACGAGCTGCCAGAACCATGTTGCCTCACTTCACAGATGAACAAAGATCATCTGCAAATTCTCCTGCAGCACTCTTCATCAAATCTCCTGTTTTACAAAATGAAGAATGGGAGGAAAATCTCAGCAGGAGTTAAACTGAATAACTGATCTATGAGTAACAAAAATAGTTGAAACTTTTTACAAGTCATGTAGAGAACTGAGTACCTGGATTTGTTATTTGCTTTGCTATGTAACTTTCATTAAAAACAAACATAGAACTAGTAAAGGCATAAAATCTGGAAAGTGACTTGCTACTAATATAAAGAGACTTTAAAGTACTTCTTCCCTTTGATCTGATGATAATACTCCTTTCCCAAGAGGATATTGTGTCCTTAAAAAAAAAAAATTCCAAGATTTGAATGGGAGAAAATGTAGATCTAAAGCAATCTACTTACAAAGGGGGTATGGTAGTGCAGACCTATAATCCCAGCACTCAGAAGGGTGAGAGGCATGAGAATCACCTCAAGCTCAAGGCCAGCCTGGGCTACAGCTACAAAGTTAATTCAAAGGTAGCCTGCGCTTCATAGCAAGAAGGGGGGACCGCATGAAATCTACTCTTCTAACCACAGAATGATACAGAAATGTGACCACCATTAGGTAGAACCATAATACCTCATGAACAATTTCAGCTATCCACATGTATAGCCCTACCAAAGTACTTAAGGGTTCAGCTATGGATTCATTTCTCTCATAGTGAAACAACAAGAGCTCCAATGCTCAACCGTAACAGCTAATCAACTAAACTGTGGTGTAGCCTACTACTACTACTATACAAATATAACAAGTATGTTTTAAAATGTTAAGGGGGGCCAGGGGATATAGCTCAGCAGTATGAGTGCCTACCTGACAAGCGCAAGGTCCTAAGTTTGATCCCTGGCACCACAAAAAATAAAATGTTAAGGTTTATGAAAAAATATCTGTGAAAAAAATTGGAATCAGATCCAGCAGAAAAGTATAAAAATGAAGTATAAGAAGTAAAGCCATGGTGTTAGGTCAAGCTGTAGGGGACTCAGGTCAACAATTTCTGACACTGAAGAGTCTTAGAATATTTTGCTGAGTTAACACACCTATAACATTCAAATAACGGAACTAAACAAAAAAGGGGATACAGATGAACGTCCATTTTGTATCTCTGTATTCAAAATGGTTAGGATATATAGTTACAGTCTCTTAATGAATAGAGGGATTTGTTCTAACAGTGTAATAACCACTAGGAAGACAGTATGCAATGTGTTAATTATTGAAACTGTCCTACCAATTTGATTTGAAACTGTCTCATTGCTATTTGTTTCTCAATAAAATTATGGGGAAAAATTATTTTAAAAAATTGGAATCAGAAGGCAAATAAGCTACTACTAGGTTACAATCTGCCTCTGCATTATTCTATACATATAAAAGTTTCTATAATGAAGAGATATTTCATCCAGAATCACAAAATTAAGGTATAAACAAAACAGATTTTAGTTCTTCATAGTTATGAAGAACATCCAGCTGGGGAGATGGCTCAGTAGAATAAGCACTTCCCTGGCAAGCACAAGGCCTGAGTTCAATCCCCAGTTCCGCAATAAATAAATAAATACATACATACACACATACATACATACATACATATATACATACATACATACATAAAAATTTAAAATTTAATAATAAGAAGAACGACCAGCTCCAGGGAGATAGTTCAGTAGAATAAGTGCCTAGTGCCAAAAAAAAAAAATTATACAATCCTGATTTCATGAATTTTTGAGATAGGGTCTCACCACATAGTTCAGGCTGGACTTACAGTGACCCTCACAGTTCAGCCTCTCAAGTGCTAGGATTACAGGCATGCACCACTATGGTGAGCTAAATAATTTACAACATTCCCTGAAAACACATAAAAATTATACTTTGGTTCATTCATTTCTATTTTGGGGACCTATTATCTTTTCTATCTGGAGAACAACAGGATTGTATCTTGCTCATTGGAAGGTGACAGTGTCTGTAAAGTGATGGATTCTGTATCCCTGGAAAACTCCTTGTGCCCTTCTTTGGCTTAGGGTACCCACTTTAAAGCCTAAAACCCATTCGCTTTTCCACATTATCCACAATTTTTTTTAAAAGAGCATTTTCAAGAAATCTACTGTTTCTCAATAGACCTACCAAATTTCTCCTGGTTATCAACTTTAGTTGTGTATGAGCTTGGGGGGAAATTTTAAATTTACCTCAGACTCATATATTAATAAAGCTTAGAGGCACTGTAGAGTAATACAAGTAAATAAAAGCTCTGCATATTTGTCAGGTCAAAAAATATGACAATGAAAAACTTCATAGTTAATAGGCTTTCCTGGATCAAATAGTCTTTCCCCCGCCTGCCCCGCCAACCGGGGATTGAACTCAGGCCCCTTGCGCTTGCCAGAGAAGCACTTATTCCACTGAGCCATCTCCCTGGCAAATAGTCTTATATTTTTAAGGAAAACACTGACATATGGCAATCATTACACAGATTCATAAAATTAACGACATTCCATGGTATTTTTAAAAAATGGAGCTAACTCAGAATCAATATTGCCAGAGTAGCTATTTCTTCCATTTCTTTGTTATAAGTTAATTGTTGTTGGCTAATTTACTCTTCATTACCCACTTTTATAAAATGGTTCAAGTTGTTTTATTACGGGGAGAGAAAGATTACACACTTTGCATAAACTGAATAGATGCACAATCAATGAACAGTCACCAACAGACTAAAAGTGACAAGATTGGCCACAGATCATGTTGTGCATCTGCTATTTTTGTGCACTTAGCAACAAAATTTGAACTTTATACAATTACTCACAGTAACTAAATTTTGAACCATGTTTTTGGGAATATTTAGTTAACTGTTGGAACTAAAATTTGTGCATATGAGAACCTTGCAAAGTAAGGACTTTTTGCATCCATTTTATAGGGTTGCTGTGGAGATGAATCCAAACATTCTAGGACACACAAAAACAAAGCACAGTGCTTAGAACATGCCTGACACTCATGTACGTTTAATCACAACTCAAACAGCTGAGACTAAGGGTAGAAGAGGCAAAGATACTAAAGACACACATTTAAATAATACTCTATATTACAAACAGGAGCACAGATAATTAGGACCAGGGCCAGCCAAATGGTTCAGCGGATTAAAGTGCCTGCTTAGGCAGATGCAGGGGAGGGGCTGGGAGTTCAGCAGTGCTGGCCCCGCCGCTAGGGCATGCTGAGAAGGGGATTGAGACTGGGTGTGGGGGTGCACAGCTATAATCCCAGCTTTTGCAAGGCTATAAACAGGAGGATCACTAAGAAGAAGGAGGAGGAGAAGGAGGGGGAGGAGGGGGAGG